AGTAAAGACTATGTCCTTTGACATCAGCATAAAAAACATGCGATCATGAAGCTTGCTGTGTGACCTTGTGATGGTTTAAAAACTGAAGCCTGCCACACAACCTCTCAGGGTTGTTTGTGAACCAGGTGTTGATGGCTGCAATTCAAACATTGAACGATATATTTAGGAAAATCACAAAAACAGAACAAAACCATTCACCAGGGTGCTGCTGTGAATAATAATAAATCTAGAGTAAATTTTCCACATGCCCTTTTTGGCATCACCTCAAACTTATGAGGATCAACCGTTGCAATATACTTAAAAATAATACCGTTCAGATGAGCAAGCCTCATCACATCTCCATCATCACAGGGTGGGGGAGTGGGGTGAGGAGCACAGCCATGTTGTTTGTATTCTTTCATCATTCACGTCCTATACCAGAGGCTTTCAACCTTTTTAAGTCCATGGCTCCCTTGACCAACTACATTCTTTCTGCGGCTCCCCTACAGGGAAATGCGCTCTAAGCCTCAGTAACACAGCCCTTGAATGCAGAGCCAGAAGCCCCCCACCCCTTTTCGAATACCCTCCCTTGTGGAGTGTTCCCTCAGCCTCCTCCTTGGGAGTCCTCCAGGCAACCACCACAGCTGCCCCTGCTCTCTGAGCTGCGCCTGCCCACCCCAAACAGAGGAACCTGCCCCCCACGGGCCTGGGAAGAGGATGCCCCCAGCCTTCACGGCCCATCAGAGACTGGCCAAAGGTGAACGTCAGGCCAGCACCTTACTCACCTTGGGAGGCACCAGTGGTAGCAGTGGGCACCCACTGGACCTGCATGGCAGAAAGGCTCCCCTTCGGTACTGGGCACTCAGCTCCCAGGCAGGCATTGCACAAAGCAAGCAAAGAAAAAGGCCAGTGCAGCACCTGCCTGCCTGCCCAGCCTCCCACTTGTCTGTCCATTCCCAATAGCAAGGGCTGGGAACCATCTGGGCTCCCTCACCTGCTTACCTGCTTACTCCGAGGCCGCCTCAGTTCCTGCCAACTGGCACCTCCTGGCCAGACCCAGAGGCACCATTCGAATGTGGAGCTTGTAGCTAGGGCTGCTGCAACAAACAGCCATGCATGTCTTGGGGAGGCAGAGATGTGAGGGGGCATCAGAGGAGGGGTGGAAGGAAAGAGGGATTCAGGCTAGTGTTGCCCATGGCTCCCCTGACCGCATGGGCATAGCCAGGATTTTTGCTGGGGGCAGGCTTTCGTTGGGGCAGCAGAACCTCATATTTGTATTGGTTTTTATTGATGGGGGGCAGCTGGCCTTTGCTCCCCTGGCTACGCCCATGCCTGACCATCATTCAAGGCACACTGGATGAAAACCCCTGTCCTAGACAGCCAATAACCCTGAAGGCAGATGGCTACCTAACAGGCAATTAGATGGGTCATTGATTTGTGAATAGAAACATATGGAGAAAACACCAGCTGTACTGGAAGTTGTGTAAGATATCTATGTAAGGGGCAGCAGTAACATTAGATTTGGCCACTATAACTTGGTAGGACAGTAAAGATCTATTTTGGGGGACTGCAAACACCCACAGAAACTGTCCGTTGGATAACACCTGAAATGAAAACATATGGCATACAACTTCCTTCCAAAGAACATGACGCACTGCTTACTCTTTTGGCTTTTGTAATGAGGGGTGCTTGTCTGCTTTTGGCACTGTTTATTTCTATGAATCATGCCATCAGTGCAGTTAGAATGAGTTTAATACAAAAATACATTTCATCAATTATCTGTGACGCAGGTACAAGTTCCTATCTAAGACCTAGCTTGGAAGGTACAATCTTGACCCTTAATGCTTACAGAAAGGATCAGCATAATAATCTGGTGTTGACCGGGAAACTTAATTAACACCCTTATGTAAGAAGGAAACAGACTTTGTACAGACAATGAAGTTCCTTTCAAGATGCCATTCTTATTCAGAAACTGTATGGTCATATGGTATTCCCAAATTAAAGACCACGTCCCCTCAGCTTCAAAATACATTACTAAACAGAATAGTAAACTAGCACATATAACCAATGGTTGAAACAACTCACTAAGGAAACCCTCTTTCTTCTCCATAGAGTACGGTTGGCCCCAAACTGTACTTAAACCCCAGATTTTCAAAGCTTGGGTTGCTCACAATCTCCACTGGTATCCTCTTTTTGTTATACATTCTCAAGGACCAACCTTACGCTTTGATGGATCATAAGCAAAGCAACAGGTGAGAAACCTGTTGCTTTCCTGGCACAGGATTCTGAAGGGGGAGCCTAACTCTCACAGGAGGTACAGATCTCTGATCCTTGGCTTTCCGCTGGGCCTGCTTCTAGATCTGGATCCCTCCCCATCTTCTCTTTTAATGTGAGTCTGTGGCACATTGTTGCACTCACTCTTCAGGCTTAGGTACTTAGAGACTCTCTTTGCACTCTATAATTAAGGTGTATAAATGCTTAGTGACTGTATTTATTGCCCGCAAATTTTGCTCCCTGAAGCAACATCTATATACTCTGTCTCTTTTAGTTTCATGTAATAAACCAATCTTTCTTCATTCCTTTGGCGTATTCCTTTATTGAGCATAAGGTGAAGGGTAATCACGCTTTCGTAGTGGATGCATATACTGACTCTCTGCAAAAGAGTACACCTGAGTGGGTGGGGGGTTCAGAGTGTTTGCAAGCTATTCGCAAAATGTGGAGACAGGCAGTATAAAACTTCTAGTTTATAGCTTTCTGTGAGTTTTCCCTTAACTGCCAATTGAGAAAGAGAAAGAGCGAGAGAGTGTGTGTGTCATGTGTCTAAAGTTTTAGGGCTTTCAAGCCAAACCACATTGATTTAAAGGTTGAGGGCTTTGAAGCTGAAACCAACACAATTTAATGTCAGAGTTGTTGACCTGTGGACACCTAAATTTATGTAACACTTGCACCCATCCCCACTTTCCATGCAAATACTTTGAATATTCTTTCTTTTGAGGTTAATCATCTCATGGGAGGGTTTGTACTTAAAAGGCAGGTGCTGGTTTTGCAAATGTCTAGGGTCTTTGTGGAAGACTCAGTGGAATCCCTAATTGTTCATGTTCCATTAAAATTTAGGTAATTTTCTTTCTGCAGTTGCCTTGGAAACACTTATCGACCATTGGCCAGACTTAATACCATAGACAGAAGAACACAAAGGAGTGTCTCAATTTTTTCCTTCAATACATATTGTATTTTGGAACATTTTATGTAGTTCTAAAATATATTAGGTGAGATTAACATGGGTCTCAATATAGTTTATTTCTGCTTTTGAAGGCTTGGGTGGTCTCACTTTCATAGAGTGCCCTGGAACACAACTCCTGACCACAGCTGCATCTGGGACAAAAGCCAGTTTTAGAAGGAGAAAGCATATTCTGAGTGTGACATAAGCAACAAGTAAAACTTTTTCACGATTGCAGAAAAATCTTTAAACCTTGCCAGAACAACCGACTGCCACACCAACATGTGCTGTCAAGAGGCTGTTTAGCAAGGAAGGAGCCGTGACATTTCTAGAAAGCCTCCCAGTGAAGTGTTTGTGCATTTGGGAAGATGAATGTTTTAAATCTGACAGGCCACTAAAACAATCAAGTAAGGTGTATGACTTTTTGTAAGGACTGCTAACGTTTAAAATTCAGTTATTTGGGGATTGCTTAATGCTTGCCAATTATATGAGACATATTTCAAATAAGTAACCAGGAGAGAGGTTCTGAGGAGTTAGGAAATGAGAGCAAGTTCATGGGGAATCAGAACAGCAAGTAGTAGCAGTGGAGGAAGAAGCGGAGCAGAAGAGGCTCAAGGACAACGAGACAGTCACATCTTCTACTTTTTTAAAAGGAAGCTCGGAATCTGTGCCCCTTGCAGCCCTGCCCTCTGGTGCAATTGTACCACTGGTAATCCAGCCTTGCTTGAACCAAGAACTATGGTTAATGGCTTCCAAGCAAGTCAAAATTCAGAAGTCAACTTTAAGCATAGTTAACTGGTTTGTTCTGCTGACCAAAAAGGTTACTTCAACTCTTTCCACCTTCAGAGGTTTTCTGCTGAAAAAAAGAAGAGCTAAGCAGTTCCTCCCCCATTGGTCCTCCGCTGAAGAATGAACTCTCCCATGGCAGCTTGTGGTTTGTTTGTTTTTAAAAGAAGAAATTGGGAGAAACGCCGCCTCCCTGCATGTCACATATAATTTCAGCCCTAGAAACATGGCTTTCCAAGTGGCATGTCAATAAAGTGCAGTTCTCTACATACTGATAGATAAGAACTCTTGCAAACAATAAGCCGGCAGCACATCGCCCAGTATTTTAAAAAAAAGTTCCCCTGAAATCAACCATGTCACTGAGCCTAAAGTACAAATCATTTCAGTGTTCTGTCAAAGATTAATTACATTTCCCAAGTTAATGAAAATATTGCCTCATTAGAGTGTTTTACCAGATAGAAATGCCAACCCTGATTAAACTAGCCATATCATGCTCCCTGAAATATGCTCTTAGTGTTAGACTACAGACTAACAGACCTGACAGAAAGATTATATAACTCTGACATCCTCATTTGAAGAGGCAAAAGCAGGAGAAAATGTACAAAGCCAAATCAGAAATACTGTGTTCTTAACCACAAATAATATTCCTCCACCTTCCCCCACAAAACCCCTTAATGCTAATGAAATACAGGAACAATAAAATTATTATTCTTAAAATACAATGGACATCCACAGGACATCCCAGCTATTATTAAATTACTTAACTGTGATTATGAGCTTTACAGATGTTTTTAGAAAATTATATAACAACGGAATTGAAGAATGACCCGAACCTCCTTGTTAAAATATTGTGCTTTTGTCTAATGTAAAAGCTTGTATTTTTGGAGGACTATAAAGTGCAAGAAAGGAGTGAAAGAAATGTCAAAGAAACCATTCTGTGAACCTGAAAGCCAACAGGAGGGCAACGTCACGAGAACAAGCCCCTTTCTGCTCACCCCCAGCGCCCCTTTCTCCTTACCGTGAATTCTTCCAGTGTTTGGTAGGTTTTGCCCCGGAACTCGCAGTAGTTTTTCCTCTCTTTGCACTGCGGGCAACACTGGCTGGTGTCCACATGAATACAGCGAGGGTGGAGTCCGGGGCACTCAGGCTGAATGCAGAGAGGGCCCTCTTCAGTGCAAAGGCACGGGCATGCAGAGGGACCTGGAGTAAACTTCTCCCCAATCGCATAAACAAAGCCACTCTCGTCCACACAGCCTTTCCCGCGGTAATCTGGATAAGCATATTCCTCTGGCGGCTCAGGGGTACCACCAGCAACATCCAAAAAGGAAGACTCTTCAGCAGCTGGAAACTCCTCCTGAACAACTTCCATTTGCCCTTGGGCTTGGAGACTCCCAAACTTGCCACTTGTTGCTTGGCTACTCAAAGCTTGTTTTTGCTTAGTCCAAGATTCCTTATTGGAATAATTTCTGCTGCCCTTGCTTTTCCAGTCTCTGGTGCCCTCCTCCCTCCCGCTCCTGCCCATTTCGTTCATTTTCCCAGGTCTTGTCTGATTCTGGCTCTCCCGGGCTGACGTGTGATCCCGCTTTTCTTGGCTTGGTCTTATCTCCTGCTTGTCTTGAACTTTTGCCAGTTTTGGGAAAGATGCAGCGGAACTGCAGAGAGCAACCATCAAGCAGCAAGTCACAAGGAGAGAGCCAGAGAGAGCCCCAATTGCCATCGCAGAAGAGCGTGGCATCACCTAAGGCATCCCAGAAGGGCAGGGCATGCTTCATTCACATCCAAGGGAACCACTCTATCAGGCCACAGTCCCTGGAAAGAGAGAATTTCAGATACCTCAGTTTTCAGCATGCATTTTTTGTTCATTGCAAACAGAATATATACACCTTTATCTGTCATGTATTGAAAGTCAAGGATTTTGAATTGCAACACAGCCATGGGTTTGTCTGGCATTCTTGAAAAAGACCTGCACAGTTAGCATATTTATTTATTTTTAAAAGATAGGTCAGAGATTTGGTATCTTATCATAGGATCAGGGAAGGAACACTGAGGGTCATCTAGTCCAACCCCCTGCAATGCAGGAATCCTGCCCGTAGCTAACCCTGGGTGGGCTCGAACCACCAACATTCTGAATAACGCACTGACCCATTGCGCCATGGGCTCACCATAAATCATTAGAAAGGATAAATCAATATAATGCGTATGAAAATCCAAAACATCTGGATAAATATATAGTCATACAAAAATAAATGCTATTTATAAAAAGATTACATTAACAGGGGCAGATGCTGAAGACTGGAGAGGGAAGTATTACTGTATTTTAGTACAACGTAGAGCTCCAAATAAGATAAGCTTTGCATAGCCTTAAACCATTTTTCTTTCTTTTTTACACTCTGAAGAGGGAACAAACTTCACAGATGGCTTTGTTTAAACTGGATGTCCATGGAAGGAAATGAACCTCCTCAAATCACAACAGACTACATAACAAGCATCTGTCAAAATATTTCCATATTCTGACTTCATGTGCCAGCATTTTCACTAATTTTTCATTCAGTCTGGGTAGAAGAGTTGCATACCAGGGAATAAAATTATAACCTAGGTTTATGGAAAAAAACCTACACACACACACAGACACACACACACACACACACACAGAGAGAGAGAGAGAGAGAGAGAGAGAGAGAGAAAGCCTACACAGAGAAAAATCTCACAGTCCAACAAGCTAAGTTCAACAAACTAAAACCAAACTTCCATGTGAATTCCGTCCAACAAAATTTCCTAACTTTTCTTTCTCATATACAGAATGCTTCTCATTAGAGAACTGTGGTGTATAATTTAAAATAAGTAAGAAACAGCAGTCTTGAATAATAAATCCCATGGATTAAAGAAAGGTGACTCTAGATGTGTCATCAATTACCCTCCACATTAATTAGCATGTAAAACATCCAACCTCTTCTGTTGCTTGCCAATGAAAAGAAAATACTTCTTCACACAACTGATAGTAAAACAACTGAACTTGCTCCCACAGAATATAGTGGGGGCCACCGACTTGTATGGCTTTAAAAGAGGACCAGGCAAATTCATGGAGGAGGAAAAGGCAACTGGTGGCTCCTTGTCACATGGCTTTGTTCTCTTATGTCTCTGAGTACCGGCAGATGGGAATCACCAGAGGGAAGAGCGCTCTTGCATTCAGGTCCCCCATGTATTGCTATTATTATTTGTTAAATCTGTATACCACCCTTCATCTGTAGATCTAAGGGCGGTTTGTAAGGTAAAATTACAATATAGGCTTTCCACAGGCCCAGGGTTGATCACTAGGAGAACAGGATGTTGGACTAGATGGGTCTTTAACTTGATTCATACAGTGGTACCTCTAGTTGCAGACACGATCCGTTCCGGGGTGCCGTTCGCACCCCAAAAAGTCTGCAACTAAGGTGGTGCTTCTACACAAGCGCGGAGCGCGATAGAGTGCTTCTGCGCATGTGCAAAGTGCACAGAATGCTTCTGCGCGTGTGGCAAAACCCGGATGTATACACTTCCGGGTTTGCCGCGTTTGCAAGCTGAAAAGACGCAACATGAACCTAATGCAAGACGAGGTATGACTGTATGTTACTATCTATAAATCAATCAATCAATTGGTTAAAGATTGGTTATAAATTAACACTCCCACCATTTCCACTCAGGTCCTCTATTTTTAAACGTAAATACACCTGATCTCACCTTCCAAGCTCACAGCAGAAAGGTTTCGTGTCAGCAGCTGAGTCGCCCTGGGCATGCAAGGGCCCACCAGGGCTCATGCCACTGGCTGCAGCATCGCTTCATTCTCATAAATGCAGACACAAACAGTGTATACCTGGCTACAGAAGCTCATTTTATTATATTTAAACATATTATCCTTTTCTACAAGAAAATGCTTATAATTCAAGTACATTCAAGTACATGTGAAAAGGATCTAGGAGTCTTGGTTGACCACAAACTTGACATGAGCCAACAGTGTGACGCGGCAGCTAAAAAAGCCAATGCAATTCTGGGCCTCATCAATAGGAGTATAGCATCTAGATCAAGGGAAGTAATAGTGCCACTGTATTCTGCTCTGGTCAGACCTCACCTGGAGTACTGTGTCCAGTTCTGGGCACCACAGTTCAAGAAGGACACTGACAAACTGGAATGTGTCCAGAGGACGGCAACCAAAATGGTCAAAGGCCTGGAAATGATGCCTTATGAGGAACAGCTAAGGGAGCTGGGCATGTTTAGCCTGGAGAAGAGGAGGTTAAGGGGTGATATGATAGCCATGTTCAAATATATAAAAGGATGTCACATAGAGGAGGGAGAAAGGTTGTTTTCTGCTGCTCCAGAGAAGCGGACACGGAGCAATGGATCCAAACTACAAGAAAGAAGATTCCACCTAAACATTAGGAAGAACTTCCTGACAGTAAGAGCTGTTTGACAGTGGAATTTGCTGCCAAGGAGTGTGGTGGAGTCTCCTTCTTTGGAGGTCTTTAAGCAGAGGCTTGACAACCATATGTCAGGAGTGCTCTGATGGTGATTCCTGCTTGGCAGGGGGTTGGACTCGATGGCCCTTGTGGTCTCTTCCAACTCTATGATTCTATGATTCTATGATTCACATCAGGGCAGCAGAGGCAAGTTCCATTTTATTCCTGTAATCATTATAGTGCTACGATTTAAGTAAGAGAGTATAAAATGTGAAAATGACCGTGCTCAGAACTTTGTTTTATTTTTGTCTGGGTTTGTATACTGCTTTTTGTTCATCCACCCCCGCCCAACATCAGGAATGCAGAAGCAATTGTAAAGGATGGAGTGGGGAGGAATGTTTACTAGGTGCTTCACAGATGACTGGGGGGAGGGGCTGCAAGATCATTAAGTCCAAGGACTAAAATGATCTTGGGGAGAATGCAAACTCATATATCCCTATCCACAGATGTTGAGAAGAAGGAAAGGAATGAAAAATAAAATGAAGAACCACCGTGGTGTAATGGATAGTGCTGGATTTGAGACTCCTTAGTTCAAGTTCAAGGGATGCCAGCGGTGCTGTGGGTTAAACCACAGAGCCTAGAACTTGCTGATCAGAAGGTCGGCGGTTCGAATCCCCGCAACAGGGTGAGCTCCCGTTGCTCGGTCCCAGCTCCTGCCAACCTAGCAGTTCGAAAGTACGTCAAATTGCAAGAAGATAAATAGGTACCACTCTGGCGGGAAGGTAAACGGTGTTTCCATGCGCTGCTCTGGTTTGCCAGAAGTGGCTTAGTCATGCTGGCCACAGGACCCGGAAGCTGTCTGCAGACAAATGCCGGCTCCCTCGGCCTATAGGGTGAGATGAGCACACAACCCCAGAGTCGTTCACGGCTGGACTTAACAGTCAGGGGTCTCTTTACCTTTACATTCAGGTTCACTTGAACAAGTCAGTTACATTTGCACACCTTAAAGACTAGAGTGTCCTGAGATCTCCTACTTCATCTGTTCAGATGCTTGGAAACAGACACCATTATGAAGGGTCTGCTCCATCTTTTCACACTCACTTCTGGTGATCAAAATGTGCAAAAGGCCCCTTAAAGAATGGCAAAAAACCAATATGTGCAACTGTAGACCATGGAGATCGCTCCCCCAACCAGGGCTTTTTTGTAAGAGAACGAGGGAGACGCTCCTGCCTCTCTTCCTAGAAAAACAGCACAGCTCCCAACCCACTTCTAATTCTAGCACTGCTGTTGTCTCCTGCCTTTAATTTGGTGAGCATCTTACACCTCAACTCACCTTCAGCCTCAGTTTCCCTATCTGAGAAATAATACCCCAGGTTGGTAAGGAGTATGAAGACTGTAGCGCACTTTTCATGTTTCGAAAGTTCAGGGTTCAGACACTTGGGAACTGCTAAAACCTCTGAGTTGAAAAACAAGGCAAAACATTCCAATACATTAAAAAAACAACCCAGAAATAAAGACTGCATATACGCCTTAACTGTAGTTTGTGAAGAGTGCTGGGAATTGTAGCTCTGTGAGGGGTACACTACAATTCCCAGGATTTGGGGCAGGCAGGTGTAACATGTATGATGCGAATGCAGCCCCAGAGTAATGGACTCTCTGAAAAGGAGAAATAACCCCCCCAGGGATTGTCAGGAGAATGAAGACTGTAAGGAACATTTCATGTTTCAAGAAGTCCCAAAGAAAATGACAAAACAGTGACAATAATAAAATGAAGAGAACAGCTCAGGGTTCAGGGAGGCTGCACACCACACACATTGGGGGGAAAGAGCCCTCTCGGGGGCCGCACAGGGGCCGGTTGGGGTGGCAGCTCTTTGAAGGGCAAACTACAGTTCCCGAGATTCTTTGGAGGGAAAGATGTGCTCTAAAGGCGATGGTTTGCAAGAGAAACACACAGACAGACAGACGGACAGACACTCTGACACTGCAATGGCCTTCTTGGAAGACAACCCCGCTCCTCCCGGGGAAACCAAATGCAGGTTGCAGCTCCATCTTCGAGCCCGTTCCAGGTGGGCAGGTCGGGAAGGAGCCCAGCAAGCCGCGACTTCCCGGAGCCGCATTCGGGCAGCAGGGCGGGGAGAGCGGCCGAAGGGCAGCGGGCGGGGGGACGGGGACCCGGCGGGGCTGCAGCTGCAGGGATCCAGCCCGGGCGGGAGCCGGCTGCCGCAAAAGGCTGGCGGCTCCGTGGCGCTGCCGGGAAAGGCGCCGCGGGGCTCTGGGCTGCAGAGGCTGATCGGGGCTGCCGGCGCCGCGACACACGACCCGCAACTTCCCTGCTGCCCAAGCAGGCAAAAGTTCCCCTTCGCGAGGAGGAGGCGGAGGAGGCGGAGGACCCCCCTCGCCCGCCCGCCGGCGCTTACCTTTGCGCGCATAGCCCGAGCCCAGCAGCTGCCCTGGGCTTCCCGTCAGCGGCGGCTCTCCTGGGGGCTGCCCGCCCTCCTGGGCTCCGCCGCCGCCGCCGCCCTGGCCTCTCCTCCTCCGCCCGGCCGCGGGCTCCTCGCTTGCCCGGCTCCGGCCGCTCCCTCAGCCGCCGTCCTTCGCGCCGCTGCCTCCGCCTCAGACGCGCGGCGAGCGGCTGACGCGGCGGGCGGGGCGGGGGCGCTGGTGTCGCGCAAGGCGAGCGGCGGCCGAGGGAGGCTGAGGGAGACGGCGGAGCGGCCAGCGGGTCGGGAGGGCGCCTGAGGCGAAGCCCGCCCAGGGAAGGGCCCGTCGGGATCCCCGGGGGCGACTCTTCCGGAGGGGGCCCCCGAGCCGGGCTCCCGAGTCGGCGGCGGCTGGGCGGGCAGCAGCTCCGACTCCCTGGCGCCCCGCAGGACGACCACCCTTCGGAGAGACAGCGCGACGGCTCTCCCTTCATTTGCCCCCGGCTTGTTTCTGCGGACGGGGCTCAAGGAAGGGGGAAGAGGCAGAGAAGAGCAGCTCAAAAGGCACAAGGCGAAGGAGGGGAACCAAGAATTTGAAAACCATTCAACATTCATAGAAAAAAGACTCCTTGTATATTAAAATATCTATTACAAGCCTACAGTGTTATTAATATCGGTTGCTTGATGGCATCCGTCCGTCTCAAGAGACAATGGAGTGTGCCTCCAGGGGTGATGATTGTAATGCCAATCTTTGCAGCACCCAAGTGCCCTTCCTGGACACGGAGGTCCTGGGCTGCCAGGGGACAACCTCGCTGAGGTGCTCCAAAGGAGAGACGTTTGGCACCAGCTTGGCCGCAGGAGCTGACAGAAGGAGGTGTGCAAGGTGCCACCCAGCTGCCTTACGGACTCTACTCCAGATTTGTGGAGGGTTTACTCCTGAGCCTTTTCTTCTCCTGAAGAGATCCTGGAAGCCAGCAGAGACTTAGGATCAGTTTCCCTTCTTCCCAGGTGGACGAGCCCCATCTTGCCCCCACATGCAGAAACTGCCTTCTTGACCACTGGACCCACTCTGGGTCTCCTTCGCCTGTCTCTGCATGCAGGGGAAGTCCTTAACTCACCAAGGGGTCATGAAGAGCCATCAGCCAACCTCACCTGGCCTAGCCATGCAGTCAAAGCCGATCCCATAAAAACCCCAATAGGTCAACTGGTCAGCACTTCTGAATAAAAAAACCCACATGAAAAACCTCAAGGAGCATATAAAGCTTGAGAGGAAGCTGACAAAAAAGAAAATCATTTCCAGTCTCCAGTGGAAAGTGAATAGTAAGAGGATCCATACAAGTAATGCTGACACAACCCCTCACACACACGCAGAATAACAGAAGCATAACCACCCACAGGTGGCGCTGTGGGTTAAAGCCTCAGCACCTAGGACTTGCCGATCGAAAGGTCAGCGGTTCAAATCCCCGTGGCGGGGTGCGCTCCTGTCGTTCGGTCCCAGCGCCTGCCAACCTAGCAGTTCGAAAGCACCCCCGGGTGCAAGTAGATAAATAGGGACCGCTTACTAGCGGGAAGGTAAACGGCGTTTCCGTGTGCGGCTCTGGCTCGCCAGAGCAGCGATGTCACGCTGGCCACGTGACCCGGAAGTGTCTCCGGACAGCACTGGCTCCCGGCCTATAGAGTGAGATGAGCGCACAACCCTAGAGTCTGGCAAGACTGGCCCGTACGGGCAGGGGTACCTTTACCTTTAACCACCCAACCCAACCCCACTCACCCCTTCCCTCTTTTCTTTTCTTCTTCCTAATTGTTTAAACCAATTCATAAGCCAAGACCATATACATTGACCACTAATAATGAAACATGTTGTAGATATTTTTCCAAATTTATTATGCTATTTGTTAGTATAACATTCTTGTTTATAAAACCCAATTTAAAAAAAATCACAAAAAATCTCCAGTATAATAAAGAAACCCTGAAACATTTTCAGAATGTATAAGTTGAATTCATTGGTATGTGAAACTTTGTATTGATAGCCATATTGACTGATAATAATTTGGTAAATCTTGAGAAGCTTAGTTTTGAAGTTTGGGATTTGTGAAGGCAGATGTTCATGTGATTTTAACTTGTGATTGTTGAAATGTTGATGCATTTAGCGATGTCAAAAGCACTGAAATTTCAAGGATGTTGATACGGGTGCTGCAGGGGGCCTCTCCCATTAAATAACTAGCTGGGGGTCATGGAAGAAGTAAACAGAGCGGTAAATGCACCCTTGTTGAAGAAGTCGCCTTCGAGTGCTCCCATCTTGGGCACTTGCAAATCAGTTTCATATTTATTTACTTAGCAAGATGTTTTAGCAGATGGTGGCTGGATAACTCCAGTCTCTTGCATGAAGCTGATTATCTGGTCATATTTCAGCCTGATCTCAGGCCTAGTTTTGTCACTGATATCCCATTGATCACAACCTACACTAGGAAAGAGAGATAAGAGCGGAACCTTGTCAATTCCCTTGAAATCCCTTTAATCCCTCTTTCTCTTTCCTGGATTGGGGGTGGAGCAAGGCAGTGCTATACACTGGAGCCTATATTCATGACCTCATATGGGGCTTGGCTCTTTTTGAATGGTAAGTTGGGTGTTTCTCCTTGTGCTGTCTAACATCTACACAAAGCCACTGGGGAGGCAGTTGTCTGTAGTATTGTGTCATAATATACTGATGACACCCAACTCTGTGTCTCATTTTCATAGAATCAGGGAGAGGCAGTGGCGGAGGAACCCCCTCCGGCACCCGGGGCAGGACGCCGAGAGGTGGGGCGAACTGCCTGGTGACGCACACGCAATGTCCGTACGGACTGTGCATGTGCGGCATCCCGTACAGAATGCGCACACATGGCGACCATATGGGCTGCCACACATGCGGCATCCCCATACAGAGTGCGCATGTGTGGCATCCCGTATGGACTGTGCATGGGTGGCATCCCATACGGAGTGTGCACATGCGACGACCATACGGGCTGCCATGCATGCACCCTCCGTATGGGCTGCCACTTGCACAGCGACCGTACGGGCTGCCGCGCAAGCGGCATCCCATTCAGAGTGCGCACGGGTGGCAGCCCGTATGGTCACCATGCACGAGGTGCAGCAGCCTGTACAGATGCCATGTGCTGACTGCGCATGCCCTCAGCCACTCTACAGCTGGAGGGAGGCAGGGGCCATCTTGTGAGGGGGAAACCCCAGTGTGCCACCCGGGGCGGCCCCCCGCCCCCCCCACTTCGTATGCCCCTGCGGAGAAGGTCCCTGAATGCGTGTCTGCAATCTGTTATGGACTGGGTGAGAGTGAATAAATTTAAACTTGATCTGCCTAAGACAAGATTTGATAATAATGGGGAACAGTGGGCCTGTTATATTTTTCAATCATTTGTTTGAATCACTTTTATCCTGCTCCTCAATTGCTTCTATATTGTACTGTTGTTCATAACTGTATTTTCATTCAGTTAGTTGCTTTTAAATGTTGCATTTTAAATTGTAAAACTACTTTGAAATTGTTTGGAAAAAAGTATAAGTTCATAGTCCATATTTTGGAGGGGGGCAAAATGTGAACTTTATATTTCTAAATGTTAAATAGAAACGGCACATTATAGCTTCTTTCAGTTCAAAGCAGGTGTTTTGTTAGGGGAAATCATGAGCTAACCAGGAAGAATGGGTTGGAAGAAATGCAGTTCCCTGATGAGTCATTAAAATGCAGGACATTTCATCCTCAAGCATGTACTTTTTGACATTTAACCATATAAGAAATGTCAGAGAAATAATGTGCTGAACTGCATAGGTTGGATGAAAGGGTTATGCATCTGAGGCTTTCATTACGACCCTTGGTTACAATCCAGACCAATTCAGACCAAAACATCTGGAGTTGAAGCTTTGGGGTTGGCAGGAGACTGGAGGACATGCAGGAAACAGCTGCTGCCCAACTGCACACGTCAGCTGGTAGTCGGGAAGGCTGAGCAGCTGGGCAGCTGAAGCACCGCTGCCCCACTGTCTCTCCCTCCACCCTCACGGATGTCATCTTCAGGATCCAGGATTTGAAGTTCTCTCGCCAGTTTCCACAGATCAGAATAAACAGTATTATGATTAAGCAAAACACAATGCTATCACTAAAATCAATCACTTCCAGTTAATGCTCATCAGGCATCTGTAAAGATAGCAAGAAAGAAAGAACTTCCATATTGGACAGGTAGAATCGGAAAGATATAGACCATTTCCCCAAGCCTGTATTTCTTTCTGGGTATATGGGAGCACCAATGCAGAGGCAAAGCTCTGCAGGCAGGAGCTCATTCATTCCACGTTTGGAAGCTTGCACACATTTTTTTCTGAGTAGAGGTTCTTTTGTGAGCGAATGTTTTCCCTCCATTGAAATGAATGAGGCAGTTCACAGGCCTGAAAACCTGGTGTCTATATTAACACACACATGGAGCTGGGGGTTGGTGTGTGTCTCATCCTAGACTCCCATCAAGAACTCCATCTCAATCTTCAGGCTATACTTCTAAGGTGTCCTGCCATTTAAAATCAAGCGAAGCATTTAAATTCGTACCCATGCATTAGATAATTTGCATTTTTTTAAAGAGCATAAAGTGTGATTTGTAGGCTATTGAAAATGTCATGTTCTGCATATTCCCCTGGTATTCTCTCTTTTATCTCTAATTACTGGAACTGATTACAGTTAAAAGATTATTATTTTTCAGCTGGGAGGGATACAGATACATCTTCTTAAATTTATTCCTTAGGCCATTTCAACATGAAAACTGGTGAATAGGTGCTGTACTAGCTCTGGGCAAGCTGCTTCTCTGCTGACGTGGATCAGCATGTTAAGTGAGTGTGGAGGCGCCTAATAAACTGCTTTTACCTGGAGGCAAGCAAAGTGCAAGCTGGCTGGTATTTAGGCAGCAAATCCTTGGAGTTCATGAAACGGTTTTGCAGCTTCTGTTTCAGCTTTATGACTAGTGTGAACATTTATAAATTGTCAAAAAAGAGTTAGTGTATGACCAAGAAAGAGGTCAAAGGAGGACAATGATTTGCATACAATTTGAATATTTTAATTTACATGTGTAGATATATGTAAATTTAGAAAT